CACACACACACACACACACACACACACACACACACAAACACACACACACACACACACACACACACACACAAAGTAGGTAAGTCTCCAACCTCGAGGCTCCAAACGCGCAACTCCATGCGGTGACAGCCTGTGAAAAGCACCGCAACAACGTCGAAGCGGTGGGCGGGAAGCGGTGGGCGAGAACGCCGAAGCCGTGGGCGGGAACGCAAAAAAAAGCACCGGGAAACTGCCACATCGAACCCACGGCCTGGCACAAAAAAAAAAACCGACAAAATATCCTGCGGTCTCGAACCCGCAACCCAGCCTAGACCCGAAACAAAAACGCCGAACGGAAAAAAAACGTCTGTCCCATCCGACCAACATGTGGGACTCGTTTTCCCTGGGCCCACGGGAGGCGTCTTCCAAGGACCGCTTTTGTCTTTAAGTATTAGTAGATTTTCATGTTGGTGCTTCATGTATGGGCCTAAGTCGACATAATTTATTAGTGTGATTGATCGGATGCTATAGATTTATTAGGATTACGGGTTCATGTCGCATCAGAGCGGGCTAGGGGTGGTATTATCAGGTCATGTTGCCATTATATGGATCAATAGACGTATGAAAACAAAAAATGACGAGCATATCGGCTCACTGGCGCATCCTATCTTATGATTTCAGGTTTTTTCTTAACTGAAGAATCCATACAAGAACATGCAAACCTGAAACTTACAGAATATCTGGTTTTGTTTCCGTCTTATTTGTGTGTCGTGTCTTCTGGTGGTCTAAACATACTGTTCGTACTATCAGCAGTTGGTAATATACAGGCGTGAATCCGCACGTAAATTAGGGCAGCGGTTATTCCACTAGACGTGCCATTATCTCATGATAACGAAAAAAAAAGGAATAGTATATCGTTAGAAAATAGCGTATTTTTAGTACGTCAAACTGTTTGTCGTGTAGGTTAGCCGCATGCAATCAAAATAGTGGATCAAGTCATAGTGACTTAATCAGATGCCCTATGTAATAGAATAATCCGCCAGCGCTGGCATAATAAGGTTATGTCGCCATCAGGTCGACTAAATATACTCATATGATTTGAGAGATTTTCACCACAGGGTTCATTAAACCAATTGAAGATGTGCCTACATATTACACTGAAAAGGTACACACTTATGATGCATGCAACGAGATCTGTTGATCACCCATTCTTATTTCTTCCAAACCATGTGTCGTACTAGCATATGTCTAATAATTTATCAATTTTGGTATTATCATTTGTTATAGCACATAAGTGTCGGCACGGGGATTGACTAAGGCGGAGATTACTCCACTAGAATTGCTTTTAACAGGCCCACTGCTACAAGGAGCCGCGTCCTTAGCGTTGTCCCCATCACCTCATGCTGTGATTGCGTAGACCACGATTACGGGTCGCATGGGGTCAAGATAGCAGGAAGCATTATCGTGATTAGTCTGAAGATTTTAGATTCGTCAGGAAAACGGGCTCATGTCATAGCGCAGGTATTTCCGAACGATGTCGCCCTCACGTAAAATCTTTATACGGCGCAAGGAAAAATCGAAAATTTACGTATCCGACCATACGATTGCATATAGCACCGGAATTAAAAGTTTCATGCAAAATGTGGTTATCCGAATAGGCAAAGTGTGCTATTAAACCGATTTTGTTTTCACGCTATATATGTGCCAAACTAAATTATGTTTGTTTGTAAAATAGCAGCTCCGTGTATTAGTTGACAGTACATGTGCACCAGGGATTAGACTTATTTCTAACCGTCATATAGTTGTTTATGAAAAAAACATTTTTTTTTTAAATTCGAGGTTACGTAACTAATAAGTCCGTGAGGACGTAGTCATCACATAGTTTATAAGGACAATGTTTGATTAATAGCGGGTCCTGTATACAGAATAGCGATTACTATACATCTACTGCACGATCCAAAAACAAATGAAAGTGCGACCTGGTGACTATGCAAATCGGAAAGCTTACGTTGTTGCTTACGAAAGCACCAACGTGCAAAAGGTTGTCAGAGTAAGAAATTTGATCTATATAGAGCGATCATACAATCGAAGGTCAGAGAGATCTGCGTGTGCTTAACCGAAGGGGTGTTTCTTATTCCTATCGACCAATGCCCTTGTCAGTAAACGTTCTTGACTTTTCTCCTTAGTGCGATAGGTACTTGTGTCTCCGAAGTGCTGGCACATCTGATTACTAAAAGAGCTATCAATCATGCATATCTGGCTAATAATAATGTTATCAATGCGCGGTAGGCCAGTGCTCAATTAATCGGAGTTTTTCTCGTTTTTTTTTTTAATAAAAAATACGTACATAATTAATTATCTATAATGGGATTCTATATTGGGTAGGGTGGGGTGAATGTGGCAACAAAAAAGTTTTTTCGATAAGGTTTGGGGGGGGGGAGGGTGCGTTTATTTTAGTAGTGTAAGCCAAAGGGAGGATTATATGCTGCGGAATGTGATATGTATAGCGGCATGATTACTTAGATCAGGGTTGCATGTATCGCGTGACAGGTTGTATGTGTAAGTCGTAGTTTTTATATATTTAAATAGTGAGAGCGGTATTTTGCAAAATAGAGATGATTGCAGAGTGCCAGCGAGAAGCTGGGTTTGAGAAGGATGGGCGAGAAGCCGGGGAAATTGTGTGGTGGTAGCGGAGTTAGAATGTTTTAACTGCAGAGAGTTATAAATCGCAGGTATGGAGCAGACTTACGAGGCTTTTGTCAACAAGGGAGTCTACCCAGGTTTGGCAACTGGATGGAACATCCGGGTATGTGTGTGATGGGTGTATAAACACGGCCACCCCATAAAGAACGGGAAACAAAGGGACGTAAGTCTATCATACCGTGGATAGTTAGCAGCAGTTTAACATGGGTGGTGTGTTTCAGCCATCAACTCGACAAGGAGGATGTGTGGGGGGGAATTTTGTAAGTTTTAGCGGGGAGCAGTTCAGTAGTTAGAGTAAGTGATTAGAGTTAGGAATGGCTGTTTGAGGACAGCCATAGGGGGGGTGCACGCCCTGAAGTGCGCTTTTCGCCGCTTAGCACCCATAGCGGCTCATCAAAGGGCCAACCTTTAGCTCCCATGAGTAGTTGACGGGTTATGTTAGCGGGTATAACAGAA